TTCCAAGACCTACAATTTTTAGGTCTATCATTAATTTCTCATTAAAATGCCTGCATTTTGTTTCACTCATAAAATTGCTATAAAATGTACATGGTTAACATGCATCATGGGATATCTATTGCTGCTTTATGTACTCAAATATTATCTGCGTAACCATGATACTTCAATTTTGTTAAAAATCTGAATAGTTATGAAGTAACTACTGTATTTAGAATCTACAAGATTAAAAGAAATAATAATTGTGTGAATATTTAATGAGATATTTATCTAACTTTGATTTCTTGTTAAAAACTTAAGTGCTAATCTTATATTTTAATGGTCACAAAACGTGAAAACTATAAAATTATCTTTAAATCAAGTCGCAACCAAATTTTTGTATAATCAATTTAGCTAATGCATTTTGAATTATAATGTAGTTGAGAGAAATATTATTCAAATACTGTAGGTGCTACAAGCTTATACCAGTTGGATATCATGGTTCAGTTCGTAGAGCACCCACATGGTGTGTTGGAAGTGTTGGGTTCGAAACCAAAATTGCTTAATAAAAATTTTCTCTCTTCTACTATCTAACATGTATATAAACTCATCATAATTATGATTTCTTATATGGTATAAAAGATTCTGTATACAAAATTCATATTTAAAAACATTTATCAACACCTTTAAAATACTTGTTTAATAATGGAGGTTTCAGCTTGTCAATTTTTATACATGGGAATCACTCATCCCACATCAGATAACCATAAATATAATCAGAGCAGAAAGTTAAATAAATCTATTTACATTACAAGGTATTAATATGGAATTTTTAATTATCGGTTTTTGCATAACGTTTGTGGACAATGAACATAGATAACAGGACGTTTTCAAAACCTATGAATTTATACAAAAATATTTTGAATTTTTTTTGACAAACTGGACATCATATAAAAAAGTGATACTTTGGTCTGATATTTTAGCTCATGTCACCTTTGAACTTTGACACTCTCATACTTTGTGTATGTTTTGGAATGTACATTAAAACTTATTAACTGGAAGCTTTCACTCATTTCTGAACTTTTAAGATCCTTCGATAATACTATCAATTGTCATATTCTCAGAGAGTATCTTTAACACATTTGTAAAATATATTCTAAAACTTTATACATACTCTTCTTCAATTGTATTGTTTATACTATAGGATATTTTCACGCATGATTCTGAATCACTCGAGTCCTGCAACTGCGATATATCTTTAAAGACGCCAACTAATTTCTCGAATGCCGGGCCCCAGTTAAGGAACTCATCCCAGTTGAATAGTCCATTTTGTTTTAAATGAGGAAGTTCATCCTCTGACATGAATAGCGTGCTTAATGATCCGCCAATTGAATTAAAACCTTCGTAATTATAAGGAATTGTTGCATCCTGGTCGACTTCGTCGGTCTCATTCTCGACTTCTGCGAGTCGAGAAAATATCAAGGTTCCCGGTTCGAGTTCACTCCTTGACATAGTATGCTCGGTCTCAGATTCAAACTCAGAGCATGTGAATGAGTCATTGCTCTCGTCAGATGTCGAATCCGGCGGTTCTAAAAGACGAGTCGAATCAATGAGTACGCTACTTTTCACACCAGTTTCGTCATCGCTACTCAAAGATGACAGATTATCCATAGTACTTGCATGACTGCCCATCATGAGGTCAGGTCGTGCAGTGTTCAATCGCTTCACTTCATCGACAGTCAAGCCAACAGGCATACCGTTTGGAACACCATTAGGGTTGCGTAATTTCGTTTGCGACTGTGACTTGAGACTTAGTTCATTTACTGCTAGACTAGAGGTCCGAACAACGGGTGCACTATAAATACTTTGTTGTTCGCTTGTAAGGCTGTACTGCGAGTTAGCCCGCTGCTGCATCAAGTCTTTTGTCGGTGATGCAGACTGGCTGCCGTGCAGTGGACTTGCACGTATATTAGGTTTAAAGCCCGCAGGACTTTGCCTTGCAGATGTTTTTTGTGTAATATCTGTATACATGTTTGGACTGGCTCTCAACAGTGGATTAGGGCTATGCCTGGATATGTGGCTAACTGGACTCTCCCTTTGCATTCGAGCCAAAAGCGGATTTGGACTTCGCTTACCATAATTATGTTTTCTGTGTCTTTTCTCAATGTCGTGATAATTTCTATAATAATATGTTGCTTCAACATCTGAGGGTGCTATACTGCTTGCATTTTCAATGTCGTAGTGTTCTGGAACTATCTGTTCGTCGATGCTATCTTCTATACCAATGGTGACGTCATCCGTATCCATGATAGTGTTGTGACAAATTGGACTAATATTTGGATATTTGTAACGGTTAGATTCGTTCTCTAGTATATCTGGCTGGCATAGCATAATCTCCGGTTGACCTTTAACAAGAGAAGGGTCATCAAAGGCCATATTGTAATGACCTGGTTGTTGGTCAAGATTGTCCTCACTACTTGGGAAAACAGCGGCACCATTTTGAATACAAGCTTTTTTCTCCATTTTTCGCTTTCGGATGATGATAAATAAAAGCGCTGCAATGATTCCAGCCAGGATGATAAACACCAACACAAGAATAATTACCAACGAGCTGTTAGAATCTTTCGGAGCTACGAGAGGGCGACATTCATAATAGGTTTCTTGATCAACGCATAATTCAGTCCCAAGGCATGGATTAGATGAACATAAATCAACAACACTACATCCTTTTGCTGTGTTAGTGGATACGGTTGCTTCAAACGCTTCGTTACCTCCGTCAAACGGCAGTTGTTCACCGTTCAAACTGAAGCTGTCTACACATCCTTCCAACCCTAAAATCACAAGAAAAGATAATCAATAATAAATATTTGATAATTAACAAGCAAAAACACCATCCTAAATACAGAATGCTGTTTTATATCTTTATAGAAATATGCTGGGGTGGTCTGTTCCTTTCCAGGCCGCCTTCTTACCTTTCCCCAATGTATTTTAACCAGGCACCAATTTACACTCCTGGGTGGATTAAAGTGCCTTGTCCAAGCCCTCAAGCGAAATGCACAGTGAAGGTTTAAACCCCCGACCTCGAGATTGAGAGACAGAAATGTATCCGCAGCAGCAAGCGCTCCCGCGCTACATATTACAATTTAATTTCTTTATTTACTTTATTTGTAGCCTGTACGTCTAAGTGAACTTGGCTTGTGGTTTATGTTAACATAATTTTATTGTTGAACACTGCAGCACCAGCATCATTGGTAGAATATGTGCTTTAGAAATCTAATTCATTATCATTGTCATCATCATCATTATGGTCATTATTATAGCCAACGTACCAGCTATTGTTGTTCCATCCACCACAAGATCATCCTTGGTCCCACCAAGCGACATTAAAGTGACGTCAACTCCAGAGAAGTCTGGAGGTGTCTTATCAAAGATACTGCTTTTTGATGCATCATCAAGGCTTAGCGTGATATGTCGATCATCTCTGACAATGCTGGCATTGTGCCAGGAACCGGTGTTGCACTTGGGGCTTGCGATAGTGATAGTACCAACTGTTGAGTATGATGTACCGTAAGAATAAGTCAACGCTCCATCAACAACCTGAATAACAAATTAAATTTTTGTTAAATTTATGTAAAATCTTTCTTTAAAAATTTTTAAAAAATATGAAATACTTGGTGTAGGGTTAACTGTTTCAGATTTATTTTACTTCACATCATTCAAAAAATATGAATTACCAAAACATAAAGTACATTTTTAAAACAGGAAATATCATGATAACAAAGAAATCAAATTTAATTGAATCTCTTCGTAAATAATCCTATTTGCAAAGATCTGAACCCAAGACCCCCGATCTCTGGTTGGCTACTCTACCATCTAAACCAAGTTAGTTACCTGCAACAAAGTGAATTCTTCTCCAGTGTTTACAAGAAGTAGGAGGCCGTCATCTGCTTGCGTGCGGAAGCGCATGTTCAAAGATTGTTTGTTGGTTGCCCTTCGTTTGCGATTATTGTTGCTCTTCGCATTATCTAGCTGTTGTTGTCTGCGGTAGCTTTCTTTCACGGTATACTCAACGTAAGCACCGGAACCAAAGGAGACTGGCAAAGCAACTAAACGAGAAAAACAGAATAATTTAACCAATTGGAAGGGAATAATTATATGTTTATAATTAGTATTTTGTAACAAAATAATTAAACTTTTGATAAGAAATATGATTTTTAAGGTAAAACCACTGGTTGGCTATGTCTCCTTCCTAATTATTTTTTCTTATTGAAAAACAAAACTCCCTTCATTTCTTTAAGCTCTTTAGTACCAGACGGGGCATAGCATAGAAATATGTATTTCACCCATTTTTTTTTTGTATTGTTTATAAGTAAATTTTTTATTAATGTAGTAAGTACCTTTAATTCAACTACGACTCTAAGGACCATCTTAAATTCAAGTATTATTATTTTCATAATTACATAGTTTTAAATTATTTGATTTCCAGTGACGTTGTTTTATTAACTTACCTTCATCGCAAGTAAGGCCAGCTTTTTCTTCTTCGCACTCACATCTATACGTCCACCACTCGTCCACACATACACTTTGACCGGCACAGACCTGACCACTGCATGTGGTCAAATCTCTTGGGCAGCCATCAATTGTTCCAGCTGACCGGAAAACATTGGAGTCGCCAAGCTGCTGACTGTTGACGTAGATGTCTCGTATGCAGCCAACGTAATCTGCGGTGGAGACTTGCCAAAATCGATCGGTCACATTTCTAACAGACATCACACCACCAACACTTACTGGCACACCTTGTAAATTCAACCCTCTGGAAGAAAAAATTTGAAAAACTTTACAATAACTCATAACACAAAATTAAAAGCATAAAAAATAAAAGTAAAAATGAAAGAAAATAATAAGAATAAAAGTATAAACCAAAGCAGACCAAACTAAACCAGGTGAGACAAGATGAAACTATTAAAGAATAGTGTCCCAGATTGCTTTAAATCAATATAGTTTCACATACAAAAAAATTAAAATCCGACCAATCGCAGATGTGCAAATTTAGAATGACTAAATTTTTAAATGCCATAGAAGGATGAATATGGACACATACAGTATGTCACATGGGTATTCTATTTATAAAATTAAAATAATTTAAACAAGGAAAGTAATAATAATAGCCAACCAATTATACACCTTTTTAGTGTTGTTTTTTAATAATTTACTTCTAGCCAAAAAAAAACATTTTTTATTATACTGTGGGGAATAATAAAGAGTTCAGCTTTAGTTAAAATCAGAAACATTTTAATGTGATTATTCGGACGAAATTGAAGCACACAGAAAATCAAAGCAGATTATGTCCTTCAACTTCACAAAAACATTAACAAAGAACTTGTACCAGTCACGTCTCAGATCTACCAACCCCACGCTTCTGTAGTCAACAAAGACGTCGTGTCCAATTTTGTCTTAGTATGGTTGACTTCATGACTGGAATGCTCTCCATGAACCATCTCCCAGAAGCTTTTAACTGCTACTTGTGTAACTTTTTAAACACTATCTTATACTAGCAGACTATTAAAACAGTAAGCCTAAAGTTGAATAACAACAACACTACAGCATTTGTGTTGTGAAATTATATGCCAAGATTGAAAGTTGTGCTCTGAACACAAATTTAAAGTTCACAGAGAATACCGATGCTGTTCAGACACAAACTGTCTGGTATGGAAAATCACTTTATAAAGGTTTCTAAGGTTTTTGGAATGTTGACTTACCGAATCAAATTTGCTGTTTTGGAAACACGACACATCTTGGCGTTATCAGGGCTAGGAGGGCAGTCAGTGTCGAACAAAACCAGATCGCAACCCTACAAATAGAAATTAAATAATGAATAAAGGTTATATTTCTGTTTCATATTATAGATAAGTATGTAGTTAAGTTTAGTTTACTGGGGCTCCAGACTTTTGTCATGGGGACTTTGTTGCTTTTGGGGCCCTCAAACTCTTGTCTAAATAAATAAATGAAATGAACAAATATTTTTCAATTGATTATCTCAGTACACGTACATTTAATTATACCATACAATTGATCAAACGGCATCTGTTAAAATAGCACAGAATCGCACAATTACTAATAATGTACTGAAGAATTCACCTGCATTTGCTAACTGTCAACACACATTACTTGGTACATTTATCAACGTAGAGAACTTAGATTTAATTTTGGTAGGTATGGGAATTGGGGAGACATAAACATTAACGTTACGCTAGCAAGAGTACTTTAAACTTTTGCATAAGAAATTCAATGTCTTGTATGATCGCCATCTTACCAATGGTACTCTTAAATGCAATGAGATTTTTTTTTAAATATGTTGTAGAACACAAAAAGCATATTTGACGAATAACTCGGAAGCGGTTAAATGAGATACAGATTTTTGAGTATTTAAAATCTGGGGGAACAAGGTGGAAAAAAGGGTAGTTTTGTCAAATATACTTTTGTGTCTTAGAAAAATCAGTTCTACAAAATGTTACAAGCTTTAAGGATATTCAAAGAACATATAGAATATTATGAAGTCTCATCATAAGGAAAGATACTGGATTTGAACACAGGACCTAAGAACTGAAGGCAAGCAAAATAACCACAATGCTACAATACAGCCACTCTTAGAAAAACAACAAAAACATCCATGAGTAAGATCTAAAAATTTGTATCATCAAAGACACCGGCACACACGAACGTGACACAATCCTGTTATCTGGTACGGTATCTTTGCTTTCAGCATTTAATAGCGCTGGTAATTTAGTTAAATTTGCGGTGAAGCTCAGCAGAATTTTTCACCTGTGACCATTTTACGTCCCAGTTGCTTTGGACTCCCTAACTCACTTGAAATAATATGACCTTGGATTTATTCTCTCACAATTTATTGGCCTCCCATAAGAGATGCGTGTAAATTGAAAACAGCGTCTAAAAGGGGAAGAGTATCACTATTTAGTCTATATAGAGCAATTGTGTCTGTCTGTTGGGTTTTGATCTCTCCAATTAGAACCTATAAATCCAAGATGTTTGGGAGCATAGGAACGCTATGTTGGTAAATGCTAAAGATAAATACTAATAATAATTGATAATAATCATATCGGTACTATTAATAACATTAACTGTAAAAATTTAATACCAATACTTACAACAGTAATATTTTTTAATACTTTTGATGGGAATTTAATTTATTTATGTTATTAATTGTAAAAATCTTCATGTAGCTTCAACTAAATATGACTATATCAAAGGCCAACTGACATAAACATACAATTACATCTCATAAATACAATGTTTTCTTTTTTATAAATCATGAATAATTTGTTGTTAATACATTAAACAAATGTAGACAAATACTGCAACTAATGTAATACTTTATTTTAGCATTTTATTAACTGTGCTGTGACAGTATGATTGTTCTATTTTTGTTGTAGGGGTGCTCATAATTAACAGTTGCAATCAGTTGGTTTAGAATAAGGTATGTATTTAAGAAATAGTGATAATAAATAGAAAATAATAAAAGCAAAAAAAAATGTCACATATCACACGCCTCTGAAGTTAAAGATGGTACTAGATGAGTTTCATTATTAATTATTTTTAAATGTTTATCTATATCATTTTGTGCTTTCCTGGCAGCTAATGCCTATAGTATTTTTAATGTACTTTCTAATGATTTGTTCATTTTATTTGTTTCATGTTTTGTTTATTCTATCTTTTGCTGAATAATACAAAAAATAATTCAAATATTTTAATAATTATACATTTAGATAATATAATTTATGAAGACAAATTTTATCTAAATTGAAATATATACTAGAACGCAAAAATTGCAAAACTATGGAAAAACGTGATGTTGCAAGTAATTGCAGCCACCCTTCATTTATTTTTATTATCTTCCATCGAACCAGTTTCTCACAGAGAGCATCTCTGTTATTTAAGGGTTTTATTACCCATAACCAAGGGCGACATCTTTATTCCCAGGGGGACAATTTGTACCCTTTTCATCCTTTGTCCACAGGTAGAACAGGTAGCAATACACCTTAGAGGATGCCTTTTAAACCTTGATAAAATACCCAAAGAGAATGTAACTACAGTAGCACACATTATCAAAAAGGTAGAGAAATAAAAATTAATGTTTTGATTTGGAAACCTTGGATTTATCACATTTTTAAGATATTAACTTTTTGGAAGTAAATGTTTTCAGAGGAGGGGGTGTGGAAGTATGAATAAAACGTTGAATGATGAGACAAAAATACCTAGATTATCTACCGAATGTGATAAATATATAATTATGGAATTTCACATATGAGGCGTGCCATTCCAATCCCAGTGTACCTGTCGCTAATGTTAAACTGAGTAATTATCATAAGAATGTGACAGTATTGTGTACTTTAGCATAGAGAAGCTGTAATACTTTTACTCATAACTTTGGCAATAGTAAAGTAAATTCCAGCAAATGACCCATCATTATAAACTTATAATGTGGAGAATAAGAATAAATAAAAAAAATCAATTTTCATTTTTTGCTCACTTAAGCTGGTTTTTTTTCATTGCAAGCCTCAAATATTTCTCCTAAAATAAATCTTTTTTTAATAAATAGCACATAATATTATATATTATCATCATTAATATCGATTATCACTGATAAGAATATATTAACATCCATTCACGTGTGATTATGGCAACAGAGAGTCTTGTCCTTTGCAGGTTGAAACATTATTGTTGCAGTGACTGACTTATTTAATAGTCTTTTGCAAGATGTAGTCATGTAAATGTAAAAAAGTAAATATAAATGTTACATTATGATAAAAAGAGTTTCTTCAATTTGCCTTAAAGCTTTCTATGCCATTCTATTGAAAACTTTCAACCTAATTGCCTGATTTCCAGAACCTGACTTCAACATAGACCACCCAATTAAATTGGAACTGATATCAAACCTTTGGTAGGCCCACAAGGTACATGTGATATTCAGTTCCCTATTTCACAGCTTATACTGTTTCATATCAGTAGAAATTACATTCAGGTAGTGCTCAACTTAGGTTTAGATTGAAATGCTCAGTTCTGTATATGATGGTTACGTTATAAAGATACTAAGATTAATATATTTTTACCTGATTATCTTGCTTGGCTTGAACTGTATGCCACTGACCATCAGAGACTACCTTCATAGTTTTAATCCGTATGATGTCACCACCGTCTGAATAAGACAATTGCAGTTGTCCGTTAATAACCTCAAGTGCCAAAAAGTTTGATAAGTAGGTTGTCGTTCCATCATGGTTGTAGAACAGTAAAGCGTTCGCTTGCACTGTTGTGAACTCAATTGTGATTATGTTTGATGATCCTAGAGTGCTAATGAACTCCATGTAGGAACCGCCCTCAAAACCGATGCTGCTGAACTGGCAGTCGTTGCCTTTCTCTCCGTATTTGCACTCACATTGGTACGTGCCACCTCGCTCCCGGCACGTGCCTCCATTCTGACATGGTTGAGATGTGCACGGACCTTCCTCACAATAAACGCCAAAGTACCCGGTCGGACATTCGCATCGATGTGTGTTCACTAGATCAATGCATGTACCACCATTGGTGCATAAGTTACCATTGCAGTCATCATTATTTATTTCGCAGAGATCTCCAGAGAATCCACTTAAACACTGACAACTAAAGGAACCGGAACCGTCTACACAGGTTCCGCCATTCTGGCACACAACAGATTCACATTGATCAACTTCCAACTCGCACAAAGTTCCATGGAATTCGATGGCACAAGCACATTCAAATACACGACTAGTGTTGCGTGCAACAATAATGATCTCGCTTGTTTCTACAATAATTTCATCATCATACATTTCTACGTAATCACTGCATGTCCCTTGATTCTGGCAGGGATTTAGTTGGCATGGAGTAAAGTTGATCATCTCAATGTCCACATTAGATTGACTTTCAATTGTGTTGATGTTACTCTGGAAGAAAGCAGATGCTTGAGATCGTGGTATATACTGACCATTGCTTTTTTCAATTGCAACCAACAGATCCAGCTGGTTATTATCACTGACATCCTTCAGACTAAAGACAATGATGCTCTCTCCACTATTCAATAGACTTGAAACAGACGTCAGAAATTGGTTGTAAGAATTCATAACAAAATATTCAGCGTTGGTGTTTGAGAGACGAAGTGTTAAACTGCTTGTTAAGGCAGCACTTCCAAACTGTTGAAACTCAACAGAAAAAGATGATTGGACCTCAGCATGTGTTCCATCATTTCCACTAACTGTTAGCTGATACTGGTTCTCCCCACTGTGAGATGTTGAGTGTAGCTCACAACCACGAAGGATACTGAACATTGAGGTGTCAGAAGATATCAGACGGCAATTGAAGGTATCATCAGTGTCCACATCATTTGGTTTTACCTCTGCAATAAGTCCACCAGGGAAATTACTTTCATAAGATTTTACTTCAATCCTAGCTGTACGGGATGACGAAGGGTTATCATTCTCATCTTCAATTTTAATACGCAATGTTGAAATTGATGTCATCTGTGGAGAACCAGAATCTGATATTTCTATTGAGAGGAAGTACTCACTCTGAGATTCACGATCAAACACAGCATTTGTTGTCAGTAATCCACTGGAACGATCAAGGTCAAATTTGCTTCCTCCAGAATAAATTGAGAAGGAGAAAGGTTCTTGAGGTGCTATGTCTGGATCAGATGCAATCAATGTCATCACATTTGAGCCTATTGGCCGGTTCTCCAGTACGGATCCTGCTGAAGTTTCTAGTATGGGTCCATTATCATTGACATCAGTGAGAGAGATGACCACAGTGGTGAATCCAGACTGTGGTGGATTTCCTTCATCTGTTGCTGATACAGTTAAAGTGTATTCATCAATAGTTTCTCGGTCTAAGTTATTGTTCACTTTGACAGCACCGAATGAATCAACCTTAAATGCATTGTTAATGTTGCCAGCTGTGATTGAATAATTGAAACGTCTGTCACTGGGAAGCTCATCATATTCTACTGCTGTTACTGTCAGAATAGAGGTCTCCACAGCAGCACCCTCACTGACACTGCCAAAGTAATTTTCTTCTAGGAAAATTGGTGGATCATTAGCATCTGTGATAAACATTGTGACTGTTGCCTTATCCACATTGTCACCATCAATTGGTCCAGCATTTTTTGCTAGAACAGTCAATACAACTTTGTTTTCAGTCTCCCTGTCAAGAGTGCCATGTGCTTTAGAAACAAATATTTCCCCAGTTATTTCGTTTATGGAAAATCCTTTGTCGGTATTGGCCCCAACAAGATAATAAAACACTTCTCCATCTGCTCCTTGATCTGTATCTGTTGCTATAACTCTATCCACAACAAATCCATCCACAGCATCTTCTCGTACAAAGAAGTCATACGAATTCTGAATAAATCTTGGGAAGTATTCGTTGACTCCTGTAACATGAATAACGACATGAGCAATTCCTTGCCTGAATACCTGAGGGTCTACATCCGTGGCTGCAACAGTGAGTTCAAAGTCTTGGTTGCTGCTCTCATAGTCTAGATTTCCTTGAGTCAGAATTATACCAGTCTCAGAATTGACGATGAAATAATCCCTACCGCTACCACCAATGATGCTGTAGTAGAAGCCTGCGTTTGGAGGTGTATCTGCATCAGTGGCTGATACTGTGACAACTGTGGTGGCACTTGGAGAGTTTTCAGCAATCATGGCGGTGTAGCTGGTAGGATTGAATACAGGAGAATTATCATTGATGTTAGTAAGCTGCACAGTGAAAACAACAGTTGATTGTTTGGAATCCCATGCCTGATCCACTGCAGTGATATACAAGTAGTGGACATTTTTAGATTCATAATCCAGAGGCTTAATGACGCTTACAGCTCCAGTTGATGGATTGATGTTAAATAAGCCAAGTTCATTACCAGTGGTTATGGAGTAAAGAATTTCACCATTCATTCCAGCATCCTCATCTGAAGCTGAGGCAATAAATATCTGAGATGGAACTAACTGATCTTCTGGAATGATTACCTGGTAAGGTGTTCCGCTGAATGTTGGTGTGTTCACATTGATACTAGTAACTAGGATTATTACTGTGGCTGTTGCTTCCATTTGATCTTGTTGCCCTTGATCTTGGGCTTTGACAAGAAGTTGAAAATACCTTCCAATGAATCCTTCCAAGGAGGCCTTAGGTGAGATCCACCCTGATGTTGGATTTACAACAAAGGTGGCAGAACCATTACCTCCACTAACTGAATAGAGTATCTCAGCATTAATTCCAATATCCAATTCATCTTTAGCAACAACCTGGATGATGGACTGTCCAATTCTAATATTCTCTGGAGCTGGTGAAAAGTAACTTTCTTCCTCAAATACTGGTGGGTGATCATTTGAGTCTTGAACATGGAAGAGTATCACAGTGTCATTTGAGAATAATGGAATGCCTCTATCATATGCTACTACGGAAACACTGTATACATTTGGATCAGTTATTGTGGAGTCCTGAGTAACAAAGAGTATCTCATTCTTAATAGAGATGACACCTGTCACACTGTCAATCTTGAAATAATCTGACATAGTCTTCATTCGGTAGCGAACCTCACCACCATCTCCTTCATCAACATCAACAGCAGTCACTTCAAACACTGGTGTATTGACTCGCAATCCTTCTTGAATCCACTTTTCATATGTCACTAAAGTGAACACCGGAGCATTGTCATTGACATCTAGAACATTAATAGTGACTGTTGTTTCGATGAGATGGGATGTGTCTCTCGCTTCCACAGTCAATCGATGTATAGATTGTGACTCATAATCCAGGTTTCCAACCACTGTGATTCTGCCACTTGTTGGGTCAATGTCAAACAAATTATGGTCACCATCATCTTTAATGGAATACGTAATAACAGAATTGGTGCTTCCATCATGATCTGTGGCAGTAACAGTAATCACATAGCTTCCAAAAGCTGAATTTTCTGGAAGATTTGCTGAGTAGATGCTATCAAACCTGATACCATTATCATTTTGATCTTGAATTGTGACCTCCACCATTGAGGTTCCAGTCATTATTGGAGAGCCCTCATCAATGGCATATACAGTCAGTGTATATGATGCATATTCCTCTCTGTCAAGTGATTTTGTTGTACTTATCTCTCCTGTTTGCGGGTTTATGTAGAAGGCATTTTGATGGTTTCCGGCAGAATCTATCTCATATTCAAATTGTCCATTACCCGCTAAATCTGCATCATTAGCTGTTACGACAACAACAGGCACAGGTGCAGCGTAATTCTCCATGACATCCCCATAGTACAGGATCTTGGTAAACACGGGTGCATTATCATTGACATCCGTGATGGTGACATCCAGCATGAGAAAGCTTGATAAAGCAGGAGAGCTTTCACTTCTTGCTTCTACCCACAATTCATAGTCTGGTGTTAACTCCCTATCCAGACTCTTTGCTATCCTAATCTGACCGTTTCTGTCGATATTGAATGCCTCATCGATGTTCCCTCCTGATAATGCATATGTGGTTCTAGCATTCTGACTAACAGCTTGCACAGTGACCAGATGACTACCAACTGTTCTGCTTTCCTCGATGTCATAACTGGTTTCAACTGCACTAAATACCGGAAACTGGCTGCTACTAAATGTGATGGTAACAGTTGCCATGGCAACAGGGAATGCAGATTCAAGATCACTTCCAGTAACCTCTAATACATATGATACAGACTCTGAAGTCAGTTGTTTCTTTGTTGTGATAATGCCACTGGATGTGCCCACCTGGAACTTTGATGTGTCACCTGTTGTGATGGAGTAGACAATGTCACTATTTGATGGCTCATCTGCATCTGTTCCACCAATTGCTGTCACGTATGTACCTGTAAAATGAAAAATGATAATAATAATTAAACAATTAAATTCACTAAATAGACCAACACCTAAATGAGTATTACACAACAATTATCAAAAATTTATTAAAAGAGATAGAAATAATAATTAGAATACTAATAATCATCAATTATTTAATTTCATGTCATCATTTACATTGGTCCTCTAGAGAAAAAAAGGTATTGGGGATAACTATTCGGTAGCAGAAGTAGTAGATTAGGCCAAACAAAAACAGGCAGACTGGCCCAAAATTTGGTTGAAAATAAGTTCAGTTTAATTTTGTTGCTCCAAATTTGTGCTTTGAAGCAAGAGCAAGAAACAGGCCACACTCAAATCTTTAGTTACCCTTTAACCTTTATCCGTTTTGGCCTTTTATAACAACCAGTTCAGTCTACATTATCAAATTTGTATGACATGCCCAAATATGGTCATGAAGACATCACATCATGACCATATATAGGCACATCATGACTATATATGGGCATACAACAGTTTTTTGTCAAAGACATTTTGATAGTATGAACAGGACTTTAGTTTTGGAAAATCTACTAAGAACAATAATAGACAAGATGACAAGCACTCCTGGTGGTACTCGCAGTTCAACAATGTCTTTACAAGGATAAAAAAAAATGAATAATACCTGCACCGCAGGTGCTTGGGATAGTGGCCGCCAATGATACAATAGGAAATACTGGCCCATTGTCGTTGATGTCTCTTAGGTAAACAACAACATTAGCAGTGGCTGTTCGAGAATTTGCTGGGCTCAGCGCGTTGCCATCCGTAGCTGTTACCACCAGATTGTACGTGGAAAGAACCTCACGGTCAAGTCGTCCTGCTGTGATGATTTGACCAGATACTGGATTGATGGTGAACATTGTGCCGATTTCATCATTCAGTTGGTATCTGAGTATAAATTTAAAGAAACATTATACATTGATTTAGATGAAGACAAGTTTTAATTAAGGTTGATGATAAGGACAATGAGGATATTAATGATGATGTTGAGACGATAATGAAAATGATGATAATCATATTAATGATGATAATGTTGATATGATGATGGCGAGTATAATGATGATGCTGATAATGATAATAATGAAACTGATGAACATATCACCACACACATTCAACTCGCAAAAAATACTTCAACCAAAAGAAAACGGTTTTTACCGTATATTGCCATTATCTCCAACATCAGCATCTGTGGCACTAACAAGCAAGACATCTGTGCCAATGGGTACTTCCTCATCAATGGTGATGTTGAAGGTATCTGGATCAAACACCGGACTATTGTCATTCTCATCCCTAACAATGATGCTGATGGTACCAGTTCCAGTAAGGGATGGAGAACCTGTAACAATAGATGTAAATACAGGTTATTCATATATACATTTACTTTAAGTTTAGACAAATGATAAGCATAAGAGAAATGTCCATATATGGGCATATCTTGCAGAATTGTCACATAAAATATAAACACTTAACAGCTTCTTGTCTGTCAAACATGTTTAATCAGACTTTGATGAAGCATACAGTAGCATTGTTCATAATCCAAAGGGCATATCAATTTGTCAGATGAGATACAAGCATATAATATTCCGTAAGATTCATTCAAAATGTTTTATTATAGTATAGTTATTTATCACCTAATCTAAAATAAAAATATTAATATAAATTAATAATATAGGACTAATGCAATTAGTTATTGTAGCAGGAATACATCCTGTTTTCCTTTAGTTTTGTGACACGTTGCCAGTGTACTGTTGTCTTTAAGAGACTCCCTCCCACCTACACCGTCCCAAGGCAAGAAGAAATCGGCAAGAATGTCACGTCTTGGAAGAACAGGAGTCCAAGAATGTGATTACTAAGCGACAGTAATCTATTATTTCACCAAACAACAGAACAGAAATAAAATCAGGCAGTGAAGATAACGACATGAAAAAATGAAATTCCAGTTGAGAAAAATTCCACAGTTGCTTGGTTTCCGTGAAAAAAAGAACGATCAAATAACAAACATTACAATGATCTTTTATTTTGAGTGATTTTTTTGCAACAGAAACCTGAGGTGCCCTTGAGAAGAAAAACAAAAGAAAACCGCTCTGAAACAAGTGCTAAAAGTTGATCATGTAGTGTTATCACCATGGAAATGTCAACAAATGTTTTTTTAGTGTTTTGACTAATCAAAAAAAATGTTTTCAACAATTCAAAGCTGTTTATAGTAAAAATTAAGAACATACAAAATTTAAAAAAATAGGCCTAAACACATTATTATGTAATGTTGTATAACCAGTGAGAATTTGAATATGCCTTTTGTTTATTTCAATTTTCGGAGGAAAAATATGTTAAATACTAGATTATTTAAATATTAGATTAAAAACAAATAAATAGGAACTGCTTAAAGACCTTCATATTCAAAATAATTTTCTAGCTCTATTGCAATTACTACAGTTAGGCAAGTGATGATCATGATTATCAACACCTCATAACAAGGACTTTCTCAAAACAATTGAACTGTAAATATTTTACTCTGTCTTCTATTATAAAATGATTTACATGCAGAATCTACTAAAAAAATGGCAGCTATTTCTAGAGTGACACCTCTACAACATTAGGCCAGGTTAACCAAGATGATCCCAAAATGGGAGTTGATGAGGATTTGCACGTCCTCCACTCCGCAATGCTTCAATTATGTCAAAGCACCTTTACTCCAGTTTCATGAGCATAAAGATGAAAGTTCAAATGAGGATATGGAGCACTTCCTGGTGCATATTTTATTTTTCTAATTAGAACAGTGATGCACCCAAACATACCTAATTAGTAACTCATTCTCGTTCTCAATTTACTCCCCTAGTTTCTCGAGGAAGCCCACTCATTTGAGTTCATACTAAATTTTGAGAAATGGGTTTATACCCGAGCATCAGAAAATGCAAACAATAGGCCGGGCATTTTTTGTATCTTGCGACGTTTCAATCAAATATTCCTACATCATTTTTCAAATCAAATTATTACAATATATCAATAATTTTAATGTTTTGCATTTCAGATTAAAGAATTATATATATAATAATACAGCTATTTAAAAAATAACATACTAATAATGTTGCATTGATTTTTCAGTATGTTCTATTTATCTATTGAAAATATAAGTAAATATGTTACTACTGTATGCCATTTTTGCTATACTTTAAAGTACCATAGCTTTAATGGAAAACTGTGTTGATCAATGATTGGACACCTTGTAAAATAGGAAAGCTCAAACAAATGTATTAAATGTGTTTGCTATGTTTTAGTTACTTTGTCAATTTCTTTCCACCTACGAATGAGGAATAAAAATGAACATTTTTATAAACATTATGTATTATTAGAATTTACTAACTGAAAATCAGCTTAATTTCCCTCACAATTCTCAAGAATTTTAATTACAAAGGGTCTGTGGTTTAATGAATAATACTTGCTGGCCTGCTAACAAGTGATCCTGTTCTTATCTCTCTAGTGCTCATTATCCCTCCATGTGGCCAGAGCATAAATCACCCAGGCCTACTGATTAGCTAATTACTACACCACATCCCTAATAAAACAATAGCCATCTAACAGGGCTATTGATCAAATGACCAGAATATCTGACAGATAGGTCACAAACACACTATTCAATGACCAAACATGTTAATAAGCTATTTTGATCTTTATTCAGACTGGACTTAGGATTTTAAGTCCAACGATTAAAAAAATATCATAGTTTATTGTAATGTATTAATAAAGGTGGATAAAGATTTTGATTGAATCACAACAGACATTGTACACCAACATCTCACATACAAAGTCTCTGAGCAGGATCTGCACCTTAATCCACAGTGATGTCAATTAATCCCTTAATCCCAAAAGGATAATCTATAGTCAATCCCAAAGGAACAATATAACCAACTGATGCCAATTTTGTATAATATACAAACTGAAAGAAATATAGTATATCATAAAAAAAAAATATTTTTGTTTAATCTACATGTTACTACCATGGAATTTGTTGAAGAAAACAACTAACATAGGCTTATTATTTACAAGACTTGCAAAATATTACTATAATAATACTAGGTTTTTATCTGCCCTGATAATACATTTGTATACCCTTTCTTTACCTTCTTATTTCTGATATTTCAATGTTCATTGGAGGGTTGAGCCTATTTAAATTTATACACAATTAAATAGAACTTAGGCCTTATGGTACTATTTAGAACTGGTAACTTTTGTTTTGGTAAGGAACACATTCATATTGTATTAATTTCAGTTGAAAGTGAAGTAAAAGCAATTAAAATGTTCAATTTTATTTTTCATGTTATTAGCCTAAGACAGACACAGTACAGTTTTCCTAATGGTAATTATATGACTCTATGAGGTACAGTATTTCAGTATATAATAGTTTGCTCTATGATTTAACAGACAATACAAAAGAACATTGACATGTGCAGAGTTGTGGAACAAATTGCATTGGAAAACTGGAGACAGGCATTCATTTTTAAAATCTAGACAGTCAATACCTAGAGGGGTATATAGAGACATCTTGGGTTACTTGTGACACCTAGCCCAGGACCATGACGGAATTTACACCTTTAATGGCGCTACTAGTACCCTACAGGGTCACATTGTAACCTCAAATTATAAACAACATGGGCCCACAACATAAAAATGAACAAATTAAAAAAAAAAAATTTGAAGCTTTTCTTTTGGAAATAAGTACTATTACTTTTATGCTTGTAATTCCAACTAAATATATATTATTATTGTTATGCCTACTATTATTGAAGTATACTGTATCTATTCAATTTTTATAGTAAAATGCATACATTGCAGCACATGGCTCAATTACATATGAATTTAACAATAATTATTATAAATATCATATAAAAACAGCATAATTCTTTGTACTACAGACTCAAGAAGGCTATAAGGTTCACCCCAGCCAATAAGATGTAAGAACAAAGAATGTTAGTATTTAAATTGTAAATAAAAAAGGAGGCTATGTGTTTCACCATTATCCAATCGGGTTTGGAATTATACAAGCTATTTACATTTGAACATGGATAGAGGGATGAATACCAAACCCATGATGAATAATTATAATCTCACTTTGTAAGTCAGTCACTTGAGTACGCTAATGAGTCATTATGGGAATCTTCCTTAACAAATGTTCTCATATGTTCAGGATAATTATAGAAATTACATCGTAATCCACACTTCGGGGACGTCGTTCACTTCGCTGTTAGAATTAATTCTGCCCTGGCACCTCAAGGAGAATATCAGCACCGTCCCAAAAAAAGTTTTCAATCATTTTTGACTTTTTAATGCATCTCTGGAAATTCAACATTTTTAGCCACTCAATAGTAAATCATTCCATGTCATCTCCACAAAAACAGTTACTCCTCCTTCAATGAACATAAGATAATTTTTCATTATAATTAAAGAAAGGCCTAAAGCACCCATACTTAATCACTAAGCAAAAGACAGGTCATAAAAGTACATTAAGCTAATTATGCTGAAAGTGCACTAACAGATAAAAGTTTTAATCATTTTCGACTTTTTAACTCATCCCTAGAAAATTCAAGATTCTTGGCTACTGTAAATGTAATTAATCATTTTGGTTGCAACATCCCCAAAAACATCTACTCCACTTTTATGGTCATTCAGTACATTTTAACACAAGTTTTAAGCACCCATACTTAATCACAAACCAAAAGACAGGTCATAAAATTGCATTAAACTAATTAGAAAGGAAGTATACTAACAGATAAAGCTCTCAATCATTTTCGACTTTTTAACGCATCCAAAGAAAATCGAAAATTCTTTACTACATGGTAGTAAATTGCATTTGCCACATTTCAAGAACATCAAATTTTCAGTACATAACAAAAGGTATAATTCCTTAGCACCAATACATCATTTACCAAAATACAGGTCGTAAAAATACATTTAAACTACTTAGTAAAGAAGTGTACTAACAGTTAAAATTTAATTTTTAAATTTTTATCCCAAGAAAATCCACAGTTCTTTGTAACATGGTAATAAATTACTTTTACCACATTTCAAGAACAACTACTCCTCCTTATGAACATCAATACTTCATCAGATTTTTAATACATAACAAAAGGTACAATTCTTAAGGACATACTTAAATCATTAACAAACAGACTGGTCGTAAAAGTACATTAAACCAATTAGGAAAGAAATGTATTAACAGATAAAAGTTTTCAATCATTTAGACATTTTTACTCATCTTTAGAAAATCCAACATTCTTTGCAACATGTAGTAAATTATTTCTCTGCCACGTTCCCAAGAATGACTACTCCACCTTATGGACA